AACTTAAGTTTTAAAATTGGACACATTTATGCCCCTGTTCACACATGAATGATTTCATATGAATAGAATAAATTACATGCTTGGTCTTTTTTTGTTGTTTATTTTATTTTGTTTCTTTCCCTCTTTTATTTGCATTTTTCCCCAAAAATCTTTTTCATACAGCTCATCATCATGTTCTCTCACCCTGGTAAAATTGCTAAAGCTCTCTCTCTCTCTGTTTTCTTTACAATATGTGATTATCTCACATATACTTTCTGATAGTTGCTGTTATGGTTTGGAGATGAGGTGTTCCCCAAAAGCTCATGTGTGAGACATTGCAATAATTTTCAGGAGTGAAATGATTAGGTTGTGAGATGTGTAAACTAATCAGTGGATTAATCCACTGATATGGATTACTGGGTGGCTACTGTAGGCAGGTAGGTTGTGGCTGGAGGAAGCAGGGTAGTAGGGGGTACATTTTGTCCTTGCTGGGTGGAGCTCACTCTTTTTACTTCCTGCTTGCCAAGTCCTGAGCTGATTCTTCCACCTCGCCCTTCTGCCACAGTGTTCTGCCTCATGTTGGGCCCAGAGCTGTGGAATCCTCAGACCATGAACTGACCCTCTGAAACCATGGGCCAAAATGAACTTTTCCACCTCTAAATTGTTCTTGTCAAGTCTTTTGGTCACGATGACAAAAATGCTAACTAAAACAGTTGCTTTGCATGTAAAACTATTTCTAATGAGCACATATTTCTTGATAAGGATATACCATTGTTTATTCAACTATTCACTTTATAGGTACTTATTTCCATTTTTCCATTATACATTGTGTACTTAAACCACATCCTCATGTGCTGGCACGTATGTTTATGTGGGATATGGTCCCAAAGTGTGTGTGTGTGTGTGTGTGTGTGTGTGTGTGTATACACTAAATATATATATATATATGTATATGTATATATATGTGTGTGTATATATATATATATATATACACACTAAAATACATATACATACACTAAAATATATATAAATATATAAATACTAAATATATAAGATTAAATATATAAATATATACACTAAATATATATACTAATATATAATATATATAACATATAATATATAACATGATAAGTATGATATATTAGATATAATATACATAATATATATATATATATGTATATATATATATATATATATTTGCCATTTTCCCTGAAAAAATAATTAATACAATTCATGCTCCATCTAGCCATATGAGAACACACTCTTCTCTGCATCTTCATTGGAAATAAGTGTGAGGATGCTGTTCCCTACTGTCCTGAAGCAGCTGGTTTGATGGAATAATGGAATGGACTTTTGGAAGATGCAGTTCCAGGGCCAGCTAGATGGCAATACAGCAAGGCCTGGGGCAAGGTTCTCCAGAAGTGTCTATCCTCTACGTCAGCATCCATTATGTGGTACTGCTCTCCCATTGTAAGAAATCATGGGTCCAGGAACCAAGGGGTGGAGACAGGGATGGCACCACTCCCTACCACCCCTAGTGACCCACTAGGAAAGCTTTTGCTTCCTGTTCCTGTAACCTGATGCTCTGCTGGCCTAGACATCTTAGATCCAGAGAGACGAATGCTTCTTCTGGCGGGTACAACAAAGATTTCACTGAACTGGAAGTTAAGACTCCCCCTCGCCACTTTGTGCGCCTCGTACCTCTGAGTCAACAGGCTACGAAGGGAGTTATGGCACTGGCAGGGGTGACTGATCCAGATTACAGGCAGGTTACAAAGTCATCTTTGTCCCCAAGGGGTTCAAGAACTCTTTTGTGATGATGCAATTGTAGTTTCTTCCTCAGTGGCATTCCAGATGAGCCGTTGGCTCACTTGCAATTGATGAAGTGAAGATTCAGTTACTATTGATTGTAATATCCAATTTTCTTTAGTAAACTTAAATCCTTTAAAATGCATTGCACTTTCGTTATACTTAATCTAGTTCATTGATATATATTTTATGTCAGTTCCACATTAATTTTTTTAAAAAAATATTTCTTATTTTGATATAGCATCAGTTGTAAAGCATTACTGCTTAGATAATATGGATGTTGTGTGCCCATTTTCTCTGTTATTAAGTCTTACATTCATTATGTTATTGACACCTTACTTTCGCTATGTGCATTTGCTAACGTTGATGAAACGATGTTGATACATTCTTATTAATTAGTGGTCCTAATTGATGATTTATTAAGGTCTCCTCACTCCTCACTGACGTGTCCTCGGTTTTGTCCCGTGGCCCTTTTTTCTGTTTCTGGGTCTCATTTAGGATGCCACTTACATTTTCTCCTCATGACTCCTTTTGCTCCTCTTGGATGTGACAGTTTCTCAGACTTTCAGATTTTGTCAACCTTCAAGGTTTTGAAGAGTACTGGTCGGGCACCTTGTAGAATGCCCCTCAGTTTGGATTTGTGTGATGTTTTTCTCATGGTTACACTGAGTTGTGGGTTGCTGGGAGGAAGGTGATGAGGTCAAGTGCTGTGCTGATGGGGACCTTGACCGTGGCTGAGGTGGTCTCTGACAGCTTCTCTACGGTCTGGTCTAGCTCTTCTCTCTCCCCCACCCCTTTCTATGCTCTTCCCTTTGGAAGGAAGTCACCTGGGCAGCTCACAGTCACAGAGTGGGGAGTCGTGCATCCCTCCTGAGGACAGGGCCTCTGCATGAATTATTTGGAATTTTCCTATGGGACATTTGTCTATCTGCTCCCATTATTTACTTATTCAGTTAATTACTTATATTAGCATGGACTCATTCCCCGATTCCTGTTATTAGAAACCAAGACCTGGATGCTATGTATAATCAAATTTTATTTAAAAATTCTTGATCTTTATAGCCTTTCTATAAATTGTTCAAATGCACTTGCTAACTTGACCCAGGGAGGAGTGGGTTTCGTCTGTGCTGAGCTGTATGTAAAGATACAATGCTCAGACCACAGCACCAGGACTGGAGGGGCTGGTGCCACCTGCTGCAATGACACTCTCTGGAGACCCAGATGCTCTGTGATGTGGAGTTCAATGACATTCTTCCAGTCACCATTGAGAATTCCAAACACTACATGTTGAAGTTGAGGCCGAGTCCTGCTGACCTTGAGTTACGTGCACAGGAACTTCTTATGTACCAACATCAATATCTTATGGAAGTGAATGTTTCTAGTCTGGGTTCTTGGGATGAAAAAAATAATATATCTTCACTGAAATTACTTTAAGTGTCAGAATGGAAGTAAGAGCCTGTTTTTATTTGATGCACTGGTAGATACTTTGTGTCCCATAAAGGAGAGGAAATTCAGGTGATACCTGGAAAAATGCCATGGAGCAGCAGGGGTATGTATTCAGGAGGAGATGGTGTGTGTGTGTGTGTGTGTGTGTGCATTCTCCCCAACTTTATAGAAAATAAAAAATTAAAAGAGGGCAGTTTCCATGTTAATCTCAAACTTGGTTTTTTAAAAAAAGTGATAGGAATTTAAATAAAGAATGGATTATAGCTGTTTAAATCAGAAAAGCCATCTGGGTAAATGTAAAATTGCATTAAATAATGTTTCCACTATAATCTCAGTAAAAAATTCACAATATAAAAGGCAATCTATTGAATGTTTAAGTAACTAAATAAACACAAATTAGGCCAGTGTCTCTCTAAAGAATATCTAAATAAGATTGTTACTTAAAAAACATAATTAAATATCATTCTTTCCAAAAATAACAGACTCCAGTTGCACTTATACATGCAGAACATTGCTCACTATGATTTCAAAAAAGTCAAACCATCGTGAAAAATAACAATTAAATTAATGAAAATCATTTTTATCGTGTTTTTGAAAACTAATTTTCTGGCTGTTATTAATTTAATAAGAGACATTAACATTATATATTTAAGAGCTCAGAGAAAATTGAAGTGACTAGACTGTTTTAAGACAGTGAACAAGAAGGTAAAAATATTTTGGGATAACAATATATCAATAAGGCTGAGACGGGTACTGTTACAAGACGGGGATTTATAGTACCAATCTCAGACATCTCTGTACCTCCAAAAAGTCTGTTTTGAAGGATGAGATATGATCAGATGGCAAATGAAGAAGGACTGATGAATAAAGGCATCCAAGGAAAGAAGGGCACTTTGACGCATTCCAGGTCAGCCAGGAAGACTAAGGTCAGCTCAGATGAGGGGTGTGAGCAGTCTCAGTCACGCACAGTGACATCAGCAGCTTTAGAATAATATGACTTAGCAGTAATTAGACCGACCTATCAACTTTCTATAAACCAGAAATTTCATTTTTTTAAAAAAAAATTAAGAATCTTCTCCTAAGATTACATAACCATTTTAAATTCACATATTTCGAGCCCTTCATATTTTTGGGAACATGCATTATAAAGCAAATACATTGTTTCTTTGAGCAAAATCTTTGAAAAGCATTGTCAACTCATACATGACATGAAGAATATATTGCAAGTTCAAATTAAAAAGTTCTGCATCTCACCACTGTCGGGAGTGCTTTATAAACCGGCATGTTGAAATTCAATCTGAAATGTACTTATTTGCGGTACCAAGAACCAGTGAAAGCAGCACACTGCCCAAATTCTGTTCTGCAATGTTTGGGGAGTTAGGCTGAGTTTGCCAGGCTTTTGTACAGTGGCATTATTATTGCCCTACAAAATACCTGCAGCTACGTTCTGCAAAAACCTGGATACTAATCACATGCTCACTCACTCAACTTCGCCCTAAATAATTTCATTATTTACTTAATTCTCAAAGCTTGAATGGAAACTGTGCCAGAGTTCTCAGACCACCTGAGAGAAGGCACAGAGAGATAACAATAAGTACCCAAAACACCTGGAGAAATCAGTATGTTGAACTTTCTACTAACATCCTCCACTGCCCTCTCATTACAATGAGCCATCCAATCCAGACACCGCATCTTCATCTGCCTGGGTCATTGTCTCAGAAGCCGCTCAATTTCCTCAAGCTGTAGATGGGCCTGTAATGGCTTACCTGACTCACAGGCAAATGTCTTTGACGTTTCGTCATGAAAGATAATGGCCACTGCATGCTTCTTTGTCTCTCGAGGCAGCCTGGTTATATTTTTGATGTTGTGTAGTTCAGTTACCTTGAAAGGAAAAAAAAAAAAACATTTTTAACTTAATGTTCTGAATACATTCTATACTGGAGAGCTAAACACAAGGATCAGGTATCACTGCCTCACACCACTTCCCAGGGGATTATTGTGCTAATTTTTAATTAACTATAGTCAAAAACAATAAGGAAGAAACACCATGTCTTCCATTGGGCACTCAATTTTGGTCACAGTTCATATTGTTTGCTGCATTTTGAAATAGTCTAAAAACTATGTAGGATTGCCTCATGGACTCAATGTTTTCAGTAAAGTGGCACGCCCAGGAGACCATAGCAGCTGTGGTGCACAAGCATTCTCATTAAGATCTGTTAAAGGTTGACTACATTCAGTATCTCCTCTGTCTCCTAAGTCCCACAATGATAACACTCTGACACCTGTCCATCAGTGAGGTGGCTCCAAAATTTTGAGTAACTAACCTTCAACAATGGATCTGCTTATCAGGAAAACGCAGTGTTTGTGGACCCCATGAATCGTTACCCTCACCACAGTCCATCTGGGATTTATGAACCTAGGTTAATGATATTTTATTCATTTAGAAATGAATAAAGAATGCATTTATCTAGTTTACTTCTTGACTTTTTATTGGTACATGTTATGCTACAAGTTAAGATTCTTTTATTTTTCCTCACAAGCAATAAAAATGGCCAAATGCTTCTTCAAATTCTCTGCAACACAACATTGCAATAATTATGTTTGGGTTAATTTTTTTTTTCTAAATTATATTGCAACATGCTGAATTTTTAAAATTTTAACTTAAAAGGTTTCCTGTTCCTGGATCAGTATTGTTAGCAGAAAGTAAGCAGAATTAACTAACATAATAATACCCATTAATATTTTTTATGACATTTTATGGTGTCATATCTATGATCCTGTGGGAACCTATAATAAATTATCTTTTGACTATGCTTTAATTTCTTCTCTCAAAATATGGAATTTTCAACATTGCTTTTGAGTATTATTTTGCTGATTAATATTTTGATAAGCATAGAACTAAGTAAATAATAAGTTAACTTTTTGACCATCTATCTGCACATACACACACACACACACACACACACAACATTTATATGTATACTCATTTCTCAGTATTTGTGGGGAATTTGTTCAGCTTTCCCACTCCTGTTGATTCCAAAATCAAGGAATACACAAATCCGTCATATAAAATTGCATATTATTTGCACATAACCTACATAGATTCTCCCATATAACTTAATTAAGCTTCAGATTACTTATAGCTAATGTGATGTGAATGGTACATACATAATTATCATATCATATAATTTAGGGAATAGCTATAGAAAAAATCTGTGCATATTTAGTACAAACACAATTTTCCAAGTAGTTTTGATCCATGGTCTGATTTCAAGAAGTGAGGAACCTGTGGATATGAGAAGTTGACTGTATGTGAGAGTGTATGTACATAGCTATGTTATATATATTTGAAGACACAAATGTACATATGTGTAGATTTATATATAGTAATTTATCATCAATAGCATCTAATGCTATAAGAATTTAGTTAGCACTTATAACTGTATTTCACATTGCAGGAAGTGAATTAGACAGGAAAACATCAATAATAAAAGTCACAGGCAAGAAAGAACAAATTGAAGCATTAGTACATATGGAAATGGGCACATGCTATCTTGTTTGTAACATTATCCCAAAAAGAAGATCAGGAGAAGGACTTTGAAATTGCAGAAAGTCAGTTTTTATTTGTTTTATGTAATCTATAATCTCACTTTTTAGAATTATTGAGTTTTTGTCTCATTTGATAATCACAAGTTTGTTTGCAAAAAAAAAGTATATTCTCTGTAATTTTTCAACTTAGTCTGTCAAATACTAAAAAAAAGAATGCTAAATTTCCTATGAAATGTTGTGTTTTCCTCAATTTATCAGTGTATTTCCACTGAATCATTCTCATAGTAATGGTACTCAATATTTTGTAAATGCAATAGCTAAGATATTTAACTTGCTGCAGTGCATTCCTTTCTTGTCATTGCAAACCTTCACATATAAAGTAATAAATCACACACACTAGCACATCCATGCACATACACCAACATTACACTGGCTAGGAATTTCAGAGGCCTGCACTGGAGCTCCTGCTGTACTTGATCCCATTATGCATTAACCCCATGCGAAAACATAAAATGAAAAGAAATATTTTTTAAGCCCGTTGATTCCATAATGTGAATTCAACTTTCGTTTCAGGATTCTGGTCAAAACAGCTGGCATCATTGCTTTCGCAGAACACTTAGAGACAAGGTTTGTCATTTGGGTATGGATGATTATTATAACCATGAATATAAGATCATCTGTTAGCACCAGTGTGTGCCAGGTCTCTGCATGACCCGATCTGGAGGAACTTCAGAACAAGATTTTGGCCCCAAGTGGAAGAGCTGATACGTGTAGTAATTTTTTTTTCTACTGTGTTTAGAATAGACACATCACTACCCCTAGAAATGACCCCTGCTGGTAGTTAGAATATTCAGGATTTTGAGCTTTCTCTTTACATTAGACCCAATATATATTTTTCTCACAATTTTCCCAAAACCCTGAAGAGTTGATATTAGCATGGATATTTGTTACAGATAAGAAAGCTGGTGATTGGAGGAAGTAACAGCCCCATCATTGGTCAACTTAAGAGAGACCTGTAGCCAGTGCTGACTCCACCTGCTTCATTTCTTGAGTAGTTGGGTCTCTGTAGTGGACCTAATGTGAGAATTCTCTTTGACAAGGGTAGCAGTTTTGACTTGCTTGAGCAGTGATCAATGCTTTCACTGTATCATGCAAACTTTAACTGCACGTGAGGGTTACTGTTGAAGAGAAAATACACATTTCCACTCAGAATTTACAATGCTCCGCTATACTCACAATTATTAAGTAGTGTTCTAAGTAATGGGAAATGTACAGATGTATTTCACGTATTTAAAAACGTTTGATCTTCATTTTGGAAGCTGGTACCTCTGATATCAATCAGGATGGGATAGTATTGAAGTAGTTAAAATGAACAATTCATGACCCCAAATTTCACTCATATCATATAATACATTATATTCAAAGAAAAATTATGTGCTACCGCTTTAGGAGCTTGTTGTTACTTGTCACCTATTTTTCCCAAATCTTTAGTGACCTGGATTTGTGACCTCATTCAGGGTTGCTGTTCAGGCACCTGGAGCAGTCCTCTTGCTGTGTCACATTGGAGTTAGAGTTCTGTCACATGCCTCAAAAATTAGTTTTAATCTGCACCTTATTTATATTTGTTTCTCTCTTGTAACAATCTCTTCTAAGATTATCATGTGAAATTCTGAAGTTTCTGAAGATTAATACACTGGAGAGAAAGACAAAGTCTAACTTTTGAATGTCTAAATGATTAAATAATCGATTCAAGTAATATTAATGCCAAATTTTACTCCAACATAGTTTATCGAAGTAATATTTAAAAGTCAGACAATATTGTCAAATGATAATCTTACCTGAACAAAGTAGAATCTCAAAACAATGAATATTTCATGTTGCTTTGGAACACAAAAGTGATAGACTTTATATAAAGTTATATATTATATAAAATATCTTGCAGTGGCAAACAATATCATGAAACCATTTATAATCTTACCCAGGGGCCTTTTCCAAATATTTTTATTCAACAATATCAGAGTTTATTAGAGTAAGTATTGTGGATTTTGCATTTTTTGTGGTCTCATATCAAAAATCAACAGCATATGTTTGAAATATGATATGTCAAGAGCTTTGTAATGTTTTGAACAACCAATAATAAAAAAAAATCAACAGCATAAACTGATGGACAGGCGGGGGAAACATGGCAGGCACCAGAGGTCCAGCATCCTCTACCTTCAGCCTCAGGCGCCCTGACAGAGGCGCCCCGACAGAGGCGCCCCAAGTCCTTGCTCGCCTGTGGGACTCATTCACACTGAGCATGTCATGGCCTCTCCAGGCAGATGCTGCTTCTCTGGATTCCAGAATCATGTGGGTTTTAGTTATCGATCAACAGTGTGATGCTGTCATCTCTTCAATTTAATACATCTCAGAAAAAAAATCTAAGTTTTGAAAAGTTGTCAAACTTGAGAATATAGATGCAAGTTTCTCGAATTATAATTTTCACCTGAAAACTGAATTTTTATATTTTTCAATGAACATGGTGAGTTGTTTTCTTGACAGGGGCTTGCTCAGTTCTCTTTTCATGGTTGCGTTCAATTACACAGGACAGCGGCCCCCATGATGCCATCGTCACATGCACTTTACAATTTGCTCAGACTCCTCCCAGCACTCTCCCTCCCCTCCTCACCCCCCTCACTGGGTTCACTCTATGGTCCCCCTCTATGGTTATTTTAATTAGTGCATTATAACTGCACACATGAGTGGACTCCTTCACAATGGTATCCAGTATTGCACATGGACATGGCGTAATTTGGAAATTACACTCCCCAGAACTTCCCCACGCCCTCCCCTCCTCCGTTCTTTTTCATCCTCTGCTTGGTTTAGTTTGAGAAAATAGCCCACACAAGTCTCAAGGATGAGTGGCATCGTTTGCTGTCATTCAGTGACTTTTTCAATCAGTGGAAGTTCTGTCTGTTTCTCTTTTGAAGAAGCAGCTATTGGGCTGGAGCCCCACGGCCACACCTTGCTCCTTCCTGAGATGACTGCAGTCCTGTGCTCTGAGTTCTTGCTGTTTTGGTAAATACGATATTTAAGAGCCACATTGTGGTCCAGGTAGAATAAAATTAATATTTTTATGAAGTAAAGTTTTTATTTGTTTTTACTTATGTAGGCAGCTGCCTGACTGTCAAAAATTCAGTGACTGCTGTTGTCACTCAGCACTGCTGCCTTGACCAGTTCCGTGTACTACTGCTTTCGCAGCTAGACAGGGAGAGCAAGAGCTAGCCTGCCAGGCAGGGCGTTCTTCAGGGCCACGCTGAGCTCCACGGCTATGCACAGTGCTCCCCCGGGCC